CCCCCTCCGGTCCCCGCCGGCCGGCGCGCCCCCTCCCCTCGCTCGCGCGCCGTCAGCTCCGCGCCCGAACCCCGCGTCCTCCCGAGCGCGCATCCAGGCAGGAAAATCCGGGCGTCCTTTCTCATTTAACCCGCGCTTCCATTAACTCGGTCCCGGCGCCCGCTAATCCGCGCGCGGAAAGCAAAAGGAGGCTAATTAATGACCAGCTTTTCCAGTCAAGACCGGCGATAATTGCTTTGGTGGCCTTTATGATTACAAGATAAAAATGGGCCCGGCCTGACATAAGAGGCACTGTGTACACTCGGAGGCAGAGGAAATGAAGAGTTGGGAGCCTGAATGCGGAGCAGAAAATTACTAATAGAAGAGAGATAATGAATAGGCCGGCCAGGCATTCATGGGGAAAAATCCATTTTGTTACCACGCGAAATTAGGTGGTGGAAAGGAGTTTGCTAATTGTTCTCGTCTTGTAGCGACCAGGACTGAGGCAGGGCGTGCTCTCCCATTCATTTCCCGGGTAATTGTGGGGGGCTCGCGGCCGGGAGTGTGGGCGATGTGCCGGCAGCCATCCATTTTCCTGTGGCGCTTTTAATTGTCGCTAATACACCTCCTAAGGAAGCTAATGAGGGGCACCCGGGCTCCTCGCCCTGGAGAGCAGTGACTGGCACCAAAGGGTATCCTCGTGCTTTGCCCCACCCCGAGAGAGTGCAGGGAGGCCGAGGGCCTGGGGGCCCTAACTCGGGGCGGAAGGCTGGACTTCCGGGTTACCCATTCGCGGTCCGCCACCGTCCGATTCCGGAGCCACACCGAGGTGTCTGGCGCAGCGGACTCGGGATGCCCCCGAGGCAGGTGGGCCTTTGCAGCGTAGCAGATTCCCCAAAAGGTTCGGGGTGACACGTTCTGTGGAGTGCTGCCAACTTTGTAACTTGGTTGCTGCTCTACCTGCGGTCCCCCTCTCCCAGAGACACTCCCGATTCGGCTGTGGGAGGGAGCCTCCAGTGAGGGGAGACAGGGCCCCGTGTCACCGGGATGCGCCGCCCCTGGGTGCTGGCACGATGGCTCCCTTGAGGGGCTCGGGCACCGTGTTTTGGTGCCTGCGCCCTGGCTTGTCCCGTGGCACCGGGTACTGAGGATGCAACAGAGGGTGGCTTTCTGCGAAGTGGGGATCCCGGGAGTGCTAACGTGGCCTCTCTCCTTGTCCTGCAGAGCAGCAGGCTCAAGCTCCTGCCTCACAGGAGAGAGCAGGAGGACTCCACCAAGTTCATCGTGCTCACCTTGCTGTCCATGGCTTGCATTGTGGGGGTCCTCCTGGCCTCCAGCCTCGTCTACTGCCTCCGCCATGGCTCCCACCACAAGCTCAAGCAGAAGCTGTCGGGCCTGGGGGGCGACGCCAGCGTGGACGCCACTGCTGCCTACCAGGTAAGAAGAGCCTCCCGTCAAGGGCCTTGCTGGTTCCCGCACTGCACAGACATGTCTGCTTCCTTTTCCTCGCCCTTGGCCCCTCCCCCACGCCCAGCACTTGTTCATTTATTTATAGTTTGGGTTCTTTTATGACGACAATTTGAAACTTCTCATTAGCATTCATGTAAATACCTTGCAACCACAGCTTTATGGCTCTGTATTAATCTTACGCTGTTCTTGGATAGTTCCGTGTTAGCTGTGAAAGCGGGTTGCTAATTAGAGATATGGAAAAAGTACAATACATGAATTATGTATTATCTGTTATCTTTCTTAGTTTTGGCCACTATTAATGAAACATGCCAGGGCTGCAGGATGAATTGGTTGTGTGGATGTTTGAAGATGGCTCTTAAATCACTGACTTCCTCAGGGTCCCATATGAAAAGCCCCTCTGACCTGATCTGTTGCCACCCTGTGCTGTGACTCGGATGGAGTGAAATCTAATGCTGATAAATGGGAGATAAACCCGCATGTCAGCGGGAGGCGGTGGGCAGCTGTGTAGGGAGGTGCCAATCTCCAGCAGACACACCTGGAGAGACGGGGAGACTGGAGCTGATGGGTAGACACAAAACCTCAGAATTCTGGGACGCTCTGTAGTGTGTGTTTCATGTCTAATAGCATTACGTAGTGAAGTAAGACGAGACAGCAGTGCAAGTGGGCGTATCTACAAGTCAGGACCCTTGGTTTCCGTAACATAAAATATAAGTTAATTCCATGTATATACAGTATCCCCATTTGGGAAGGTAAAATAATTCACTTAATTGCCATTTTAAAAGTTTGATCAATATACATTGGTAAGGTTTCCTCCCATTGGGCTGGCTGGATCTTTGTCTTCTGTGGGCACGTGACCACGGCGGGTAAATAATTCCCGTGTTTCACAACAGTCAATACTGCTGTTCTGTCTTTGGCATCACCAAGGTAGACTCTCCAGCTCCTTCTAGGAGAGACCTGAGGCCCCAGTTGGCATGGAGCTGGCTGGACTTTGTCCCTCGGGCCACCCTACCCTGCCCCGTGTAAGGAGTTGTGATGAATTCATAAAATTTCTGTGCTTAATAGAGAACACAGTATAGCTTCTCTAGTTTCAAAATACTTAGTATTGTCACTGAGTGGAGAAAAACCTCTAGTATCCTGCAGGGGTCACAAGCCCGGTCAGAATGATCCTTTTCTTATAAAGAAATGGCAACTTCAAATGGGTTGGAGATGGCATTTCAGGCATAGTGCGTGGCTTTGCTTCAAAGAGAAAGAAAAACCACGTTTGAAGAAGCAGCCTGAAAAAAATGTCACATAAACTAGTAAGAATTTACCCAGAAGTTCTGTTGAGCAGGGCCATCAATATAGGATGCCAGGTCTTCAGGGCCAACCTTGTGTCGAAACATAAATAAATTATCACCTCGTTCTGTTCCAAGTATGAGAGACGGGAGATCATACAGGCGTAGATTTCTAGAAAGCATGGCATCCTTTGATATACTTTGAAATTCAAATATAAAATATTGATAGAATGGAAAGGTTAGACTTGCATGCAGAAATGACTAATTTTTACAAAAATGCAGGTTGAAAATGCATACTTAGAACTGAGTTTATGATAATTAACAGAAAAAAAGTCTTCCCAGTGACAGCTCTAATTAATAGTATCTGTAATTAAAATCATGCCCTTGCAGCAGGAAAAGTGTTTGAATTTCTTAGAGTGACCTTTTGTGTTCCTCCTGGGGACATGGTGGGTAAGTTGATATTGATTTTATAATGAGCTCTGGTTTGTTTAATAAGAATCTATAATCCAGACAATAAATGAAATGTGTGCTTTTCTTCAATCCAGATTAATAAAAAGGGGGAAAGACAGAAGAAAGAAAACTTTGTCTTTAAAAATATGATCTAGGAAAATTTGGACATGATTGTGACGATTTTCCGTTGTGCTTAGTTCTGAGATCACTCCCAGACACCCTTGGAGAGCCACCTGGGTGGGCAGTGGGTATGCCGCCACCACTCTGGAGAGAACCAGAGCACAGGAAGGCAGGATGCCACCCACAGGACAGGGACCCCGTGGCTTTTGGCTTCGGATTTAGCTGGGTGACATACAAAGAACTGAAGCTGCTGTGGTCACGTAGCGGGCACGTTGGTGCGTGAAGCAGATGTGAACTCATGCGTGCACCTGTATCTCTTCCCATTTCCGTAGCTGCCATTGAGATACCCTTCAAGTTTAAAAATCATCTTATAGCAAGTTTTTCAAAATATTGCAAGCATAAACAGTGCCTTGTGGAGAAAGCGTCCAGTTGCCCTGGTGCTCTTTATGTCACTGAACTTCTATAATACAAGGAAAGCTGTAGATAACCTCACCATAATTCCCACTGCTGGGTTACGGGGAAAGCTGAGCAATTTTATATTATGCTTCATGTTATGGGGCATGGTGTACACACTTCATGCATTGTTTTGAAGTTTTTAGAAGCCATAAAGATTCCAGTGTAAGTAGCCTGGGGACAATAGGATGATTGTAACAGTATATGAAGTTCTGTTAATGTCAGCTCTCAAAGGTCTTCTGGAAGGGAGAGAGCTGGGCGTTCATACAGAGGGAAGGAAGGCACAAGTGGGGCGTTTGGATGGGTAAGAGTGACGGTTCCATGGTGGCTAGTCGTGCTGTTCCAAAAGGAGAATCCGTGTGTCCCCACATAGCACTGGCGCTAGTGTCACTGAGCACACTCATGGAAGGATCCAAGGAGACCCTTGATGGTGACCTGGCAGCCCTCTACTGAACATGGAGGGGACTGCCTGTGCGGCCCTGGCGTATGTGACCACGGAACCCTGGCCATAGGTCGCAGCAGGTCCCTGAGTGTCCCTTTCTCAAAATCATTCCCTGCAGCCTTGAGTGATGAGATTCTAGTGTAAACATCTGTATCTCCTTCCTCTAGGTAGGCCTGGTCCCAAGACTACCAGGATTCATCACTTTCTGAATTTATGTGTGTGGGGTGCATGTGTGATTTTTGCTTTATGTATTGGTAAAACCAGATCTTTTGGGCAGATTTACTTTTGATGCTCTTCCAAGATATCAATCCCATACAATAATCCAACAAAGTTTAATTTGCTCACAGTTTAAAAGTTGGGTAAATTAACTTTTTGAATTAACTAAGTATATTTTTAAAAGTTATTTTTAGTAGGATGTCACCACCAAACTTTTCCCTGTTGTTTCAGTGAATGTTTTTGTCAAAGTATATGCAACACAATATATTGGGATTAAATTTGTACTTAATTATCCAAAAACAGATTCTTCTTATTTCTACTCTTCCTTTCAAACTAGGACAGCATGTCATATACATGTATGTCATATGGGTCCGTGTGAGTTCATGTGGGACACACCCACACTGAGGGTGAGAATTCTCACGTTTTGCCCCAGTATATGTTAAGCGTTATTTCATGTGGATGTCCCATTTCTAAGGAAGGCGGTTGGATAGAACTGCACCAAAAAATAAGTTGTTAGGTGATTAGAGACATTCTTCCCTTTTTCTCTCCAAATCTCTTTGAATGTTGCATCCATTTCTTTGAAGCTTTGATCATCTCTGAACAGCAAGTTTAGTATTCTGCCTGCCCGCTCTCCCTCCCCAACACCAAGGCAGAGGCTCCTGCAGAATTTTCAGCAAGTTCTCTTTTGATGGTTATTTCACAATACCCAGCAGGTTTTCTTGTGTACTTGAGGCCTTTGGAACCAAACCACGCACTGGGGCTACAGGGACCCCCACAAGCAGAGCTGCTCAGAGCACATCCAGGCTGCCGTGGCACCCATTAGCAAGTGATTATCAGTGTAATGACAGGGTGCATGTGGCTGCTGCTACTTGAGGTGCTCAGCAGGTTTGGGCCGATGGCTTTGCTTGCTCAGAAGTGCCCTGACTTCTCACCTCTGGCAAAGGAAGCTGAGCTCTTATGCGGGGTGCAGGTCATCACCTGCTGGCTCCTTCTCTTATGAATTATGAGACCCCTTCTTCTAGGTGAGTTTAATCTTCTGTACTTGGCAATCACTAGCCGTGGAAACAGAGAAAAGATAGGGTGTTTCCAGTTTTGCCAAGGTTCACTTGGTTCTACTACAAGTTTCTGAAAGGCCTCTCTACTCAGTCAGCTGTGTATCTTAGAATGGCTGTTCTGGTTTTATGTTTAAACTTTCAGGTTAAAATAATAATCATTTTTAACAAATATTCAAGAAACAAAATCCTGCTTTAGAACTGGAAGGGTCCTTAAAAACGTGTTATTAAAGAATATCATCTTGTTACAACATGGGCAAACCTTGAGAATTGGGAGTTTTCTAATTTCAGGGAAATCCTAATTTCAGGGAAGCTGGCAGCTGGTAGGTAGAAATTGCCCACCTTCCTGGTACTGGTGTGGTTCCCAGGCGCGTATTCCACCTCCCCCGGGGGTGCCAGGTAGTGGAGGGGAGGTCTTCTGCTCTTCCTGGGCCCGCCGTGCCCTGGGATGCCCCAGGACCTAGTTGCAGATAAAGCCAGGGTGGTTCGATTGGTGCCAGATTCCAGGCTTTTTGAAGCAGAAATGTGACCATCTAAGGAAAACCTGCAAAAATTTCACCCTGCTGAGGGTAAAGGAGCGCATTTTATCCCTAACAGTTTCAAATGATCAATATGATTTTGGTAAGCTTGGGTGAATCTGCTAGATGCCTTCTCACTGTAGGTCAGAACATTCTTCCAGAAGGCCAGCACCTGTTAGTAACACGCTGTTCTCAGACACCCCAAACTTTCAGGTACATCCTTTCCAACTGGTGTGTCCGGGCCTGTTCTGCAGCATGGCCCATAGGAACTCCTTGACACAGCGGACAGCTGAGCATAAAGTAAAGCTACTGCCCGCCCTGGTCAGACAGGAGTAATTAGATCAGCATGATTAAAAGTAGCAGAGTGCACAGCAAGATGTGTGGAAACGGGAGACTGGGTGTTCAGTGCTCCAGCACCCTGCGGCCTGAGCTCTGTGGCTCC